CATTCTCTGGCTCTCTCTTTTCTTGGGTTCCTTCCCTACTCTTTGGTAGCACTGGCCCCCTTTCCCTGGTTCTTTTGGACAGAATAATGGGGGGCTTCCTAGTGGAACATTAGTTATGCCATACTGTGTCTGCCCTCAAGGCAAAGCTGCAAAGAATGAGAATCTCACTCTGTAAGGGTTGCTTTGTCAAAGTTTGATACCTTCCAAAATCTATCTGCTTTTTGTTCCAGACCCCACAAGTAATCGATGTTTGTATTTTTTTTTCTAGGTTTTCCCTACTGGAAGAAGAAGAAGTTTCTCAAAAATTTAAAAGCAAATAAACTTATACATAATTTACTTCATATTCCTAAAGTACTAAAATAACTTTTGCTCTCCAAAGTGCAGCTATTCCACATGTTTAAACAGATGTTTGCTGACAGCACTGACTTCTCCAAGATCCAAAGCGAGGAGAGCAGTCAATTAAACTCCAGTCTCTTCTAAAATTTTAATCCTAGGTTGGTTTCAGATGGGTTAACACAGTCATTCAACCCTCAAGTATTTAAGGGAGGCACCTGGAACTGACTCAGTTCCTAGATTTAAACCTGTTCAGTGAACTGTCCACCCCTATCTTCAAAGTACAGAGACAATACAGGTTCTCGTAATCTCTATGAGAACCTCCTCCTATTCCTGCTTCCTCTTATATGCCCTTTTTACAATCTGAAAGTTTTTTTTTTGTTTTTTTTTTTGAGATGGAGTCTCACTCTTGTCACCCAGGCTGGAACGCAGTGGCGCAATCTTGACTCATTGAAACCTCCACCTCCTGGTTTCAAGTGATTCTCCTGCCTCAGCCTCCTGAGTAGCTGGTATTACAGGCACCCGAAAGCACACCCAGCTAATTTTTGTATTTTTATTAAAGACAGGGTTTCACCATGTTGGTCAGGCTGGTCTTGAACTCCTGACCACAGGTAATCTGCCTGCCTCGGCCCGCAAAGTGCTGGGATTACAGTTTTAAGCCATGGCGCCCAGCCTACAATCTTAAAGTTTTATCTGTCTCTGACATGCAACATAGATGCCTTCCTCACCTCCCCAGAATCCTCATTACGCATATTTTAAATTGTTTTCTAGTTTTCAAAAAACACTCTTTAGTGAAAAACAAAAAAGCAAAAACAAACAAACAAAAAACAACCAAGGCTTTCCAAGGCTTTAAAAATTCCCAGGCCTTCTTTCAAGAACATAACCTACAAAACCTACCCTGAATCATGTACCTGTTTAACTTAATCACAAAACAGTTTGGGTTCTCATTCCACAATAAAACTAGCAATAATCCCTAGAAAGAAGCTAAGCTCTTTGTTTGCAGAAAGCCTTTGTATCTGGAGTTTACAGGTATTTCTTAACTTTACACATCTTTTCACATATCTGCATGAGGGCTACGGTAAATATTACTGCATATTAGTCATTGATCCCCTTGACTTTACTTTGGTCCTTGGTAATTCTCTTAGATTGCAATTTACACAGTATGGTTCTACTACGAACTGATTTCTATGGTGTGATCTACATGACAGACATACCTTTTTTATGTGGAAACCTGAAAAATGATTTTAGTATTTTAGGTATTTCTAACTAAAATGACATTTAGATACCCCAATGGATAAGTATTTAATAAATACACTCATATATAATATTTTCTATTTTGTAATGCAAAAAATTTTACTAGATTGGACAAAGATAAATCAACTAGCAGTATATTACGATGTGCTTTGACCTTTAAGATAAAGAGTATTTTATTTAGGCAAATTATTCTTATTTTGTAATGAATTACAACAGCTAACCCTGAGATGGGGAAGGAAATATAAACCAACTCAGGTTTGGTTGTAAAATAAAATTGAAGAATGTAGTTACACTAGCCCTTATATACCACCAGGGTCTTTTATTTCTGAGTTTCTTCTTTGAGCAACTTTATTTGTAAACATTAATATTTCATATCTTATTTTCTTAGAAGTTTTCCAAAGAAAAAAGGATTCATTTTTTTTTAAAGAATAAAACTGATTCTATCCTACAATTACTATCTGAATGTATTCATCCTCTTTATTAATTTAAAATGCATAACAGAATCGTAGGGATCCTGTTTTTCCTATGCTCTGTATTTTAGTATTTCATCATCCTAGGGTTTATTTAATCATTACTCATGAATTATTTCTTGGGAGATATGCTAAAAATAAAATAATTAAAAAATAAAATGGAATCACCTAAAAAGATGATCCAGTAGGAAAAGAAATCATTTTTATATCATATTTCAGCTCTCATATTGTTTTCCACAGTATAACATCTTTGAAAGCAGAAAAGCATAGAAACCTCATTTTTGCAGTCTTCTTTTCAGTGGCTTTTATTAACACCATTAAGAGTTCTGAAACCAGTTTTGGGTTCCAAATGGTAGGTAGAAGTAAGCTGGCTTCATTCCCTCACTAGCGAAAACCAAAAACAAATATATGGTGCTGAGATTATTGCTAGCAATATCCCATAACTCAAATTTGTAGATCAAACGGTTCCAAGGGACACAAGTGAAAAAAACTCCATGCAGCCAGAAAAAGAATCAGAATTCAGTATCTATGACACCCCTCCCCACAACCTGCCTGACACCAAGTATGTGGAAAATTTCCCTGACTCACAGTGTCTAAACTGGAAAAAGTGAGACTGAAGTAGACAACCAGTTTCCCTCACCATCTTGGGGTCCTGGTGGCCCACAGGGTCGCTGACTCAACCCATGGGAAGCATCATAAGTATGCAAAGGGAAAAATAGCACTGAGGACACTCAGAGACAGAGGGGTAAGGGAGGACTACCACTCCCAGTCTTGGAAACTCTGCTCTTTAACTTAGTCAAAGGAGACACCAAATCAGAGTACTTGTTCGGCAGGACCACTAGGCAGGAGGTACGTTCCACAGGTCCCCTGGGTACAAACCCCTAGCCAGCCTTTCTACACTGCTGAGATATCACCTTCGGGACCTCCTCAAATCCTAACAGGCAGCAATCTGATCCTTTACTAGGCTAGAGGCAAACCTGGAATCAAGGCTCCATCTAGTGCCAAAAAAGAGGCAGAGTGACGTAGCAGAAAAAAAAAAAAAAAAAAGAAAAAGAAAGAAAGACATTCAACAGGTAAGTTACAAAGAATCTCTAAGCAAACATGTCCAATAAAAACCAAACTAGTCAGATAAGTCTAAAATAAGCAAATAATGTTTCAGTGCAAAGACATAGATTTACGTCCAAAAGAAACAACAGCAAACCATGATCTCCTCAAATGGACAAAGTAAGGAACCAGTGACTAACCCTAATGAGACAGTGATTTGTGAACTCTTGGACCATGAATACAAAATAGTGATTTTATGGAAACTCGGTGACATCCAAAATAACACAAAAAATAAATTTAGAAATGTATCAGAGAAAATTATCAGAGTTTGAAACAATAAAAAATCAAACAAATCTTGGTGGAACTGAGAAATACGTTTGCTGAACTAAAAAAATCATTAGAGGCTCTCAACAACACAGTGGATCAATCAGAAAAAACAATCAGTGAGCTAGAAGACAGGCTATTTTAAAACACATAGAGGAGGAAAAAAAATAATAAAAAGGAATGAGGATTGCCTAGAAGATACAGAAAATCACCTCAAAAGAGCAAATCTAAGAACTACTGGTATTCAAGGAGCTAAGCAAGAGCAGGAGTAGAAAGTTTATTCAAAAAAATAAAGCCTCCCAAAATCTAAGAAAAATTATCAATATTCAGGCCAGAGAACACCAAACAGATTTGACCTAAATAAAACTACCCCAAGGCATGTAATAATCAAACTCTCAAATGTCAAGGACAAAGAGAGGATCTTAACAGTAGCAAGTTAAAAGAAGCAAGTAACATATAAAGGAGCTTCAATTTGTTTGGCAACAGACTCCTCAGTGGGAACCAAATAAGCCAGGAGGGAGTGCGGATGACATTTTCAAAGTGCTGAAAGAAAAAACTGCCATTCAAGAATATTATATTCAGCAAATCTATCCTTCAACTACAAAAAAAGAAAGATAGACTTTCCTAGACAAACAAGCACTGAGAAAATTCACCATCACCAGACTCATTTTACAAGAAATACTAAAGGAAGCTCTTCAATCTCAGAGAAAAAAAAAATGCGCAAAAAGAAAACATTTAAAGGTATAAAACCCACTGCTAGTCTATTACAGGCACTGTGGTTCATGCCTGTAATACGAGCTACTTGGAAAGCTGAGTCGACAGAGGACTGACTGAGGCTAGGAGTTTAAGACTATCCTGGGCAACATCATAAGACCTTATCTCTAAAAAAATTTCTTTTTTCTAATTACCTGAGCATGGTGGCAAATGCCTATCGTCCCAGATACTTAGGAGGCTAAGTTGGGAGAATCATTTGAGCCCAGGAGTTCAAGACTACAGTGAGCTATGATTATGTCACTGCACTCCAGCCTGGGTGAAGAGGCAAGACCCTGTCTCTGAAAACAAAAATAAAATAAATGCACTGGTAAAAGTAAGTACATAGACAAACCCAGGATATTCTAACACTATAATTGTTGTTGGTCCTCTCATAATTCTAGTATGAAGTCTAAAAGACAAACTTGTTAAAAACAATAGTAGCTACAGCAACCTGTTAAGAGATAGGCAATATAAAAATAGGTAAGTTGAGACAATAAAAAGTCAAAATTTAGGGGCGATGGAGCTAAAGTGTAGAAGTTTTTAAGTTTCTTTCTTTGTTAGTTTCTATTTTTTTCTTCGTTATCTAAGGTAAGTTTTCATTGTTTTAAAATAACTTGTCATAACTCTAAAACTTTTTAATAAACCTCATGGTAACCACAGTGCAAAAACCTATAATAGATACACTAAAAATAAACAGCAATTAATTAAAACATACTATCAGAGAAAATCACTTAACCACAAAAGAACACAGAAAGGAAAAGAGAGAAGTACAAAAGAACCAGAAAACAAGCAACAAAATGGCAATAATAAGTTCTTACTTACCAATATTAACTCTGAATGTAAATGAACTCAAGTCTCCAATTAGAAAACACAGAGTAGCTGACTGGATAAAGAAGAAAGACCAAATCATACAATGCCCACAAGAAATCCACTTCACCTACAAAGACACATATAACACTATAAGTGAAGGAATGGAAAAAGATATTCCACGCAAGGGGAAACCAGAAAAGAGCAGGAGTAGTTAACACATCAAGTAAAATATGACTATAAGTCAAAGACTCCAAAAAGTGACCAAGAAGGTCACTATATTATAATAAACAGGTCAATTCAGCAAAAGGATATAACAATTAATAATATCTAAGCACCCAATACCAGAATACTCAAGTCTATAAAGCAAATATTGAGAGACACAAAGGGAGAGAGAGAGTACAATATAATAATAGTAGGGAGACTTCAACACCCTACTCTCAAGAAAGGACAAATCATACAGACAAAGAATCAACAAAGAAACAGGGGAGTTAAACTAGACCAAATAGGCCTAATTGACATAAAAAATCTCACCCAACTGCTGCAGAACAGACAACCTTTTCATCAGCATATGGAACATTCTCCAGAACAGACCACATCTTAGGCCACAAAACAAGTCTCAACAAAGTCAATAAAGTAGAAATCATATCACATCTCTTTTGTAACCACAATGGAAAAAAACTTGAAATCATTAACAAGAGGAACCTCGGAAACAATACAAAAAATTAATTAATTAATTGTTTGATTTAATTTCGGGCAAGTTCAAATCAAATGACTTGTTCCTGGCAGGGCAAGGTGGCTCATGCCTATAATCCCAGCACTTTGAGAGGTCAAGGCGGAAGGACCTTGTTTGAAGCCAAGTGTTTGAGTACCAGCCTGGGAAGCATAACAATACCTGGGTTGGCTGGGCTTGGTGGTGTGTGCCTAACGTCTTAGCTACTCAGGAGGCTGAGGCAGGAGCATCCCCTGAGTCAAGGAGATTGAAGATGCAGTGCGTCATGATCACATCACTGCACTCCAACCTAGGTGACAAAGTGAGACCCTGTCTCTATTTAAGAAGGGAATTTAAAAATATTCTGAATCAAATGACAATGGAAACACAAAATACCAAAATCTATGGGATACAGCAAAAGTAGCAGTACTAAGAGAGAAGTTTACAATAATAAATGTCTACATCAAAAAAGAAAAATTTCAAATAACCTAACAATGCATCTCAAAAACTAGAAAAGCAAGAACAATCCAAACTCAAAATTAGTAGAAGAAAATAAATAATAAAGGTAAGAACAGCAGTAAATAAAATTGAGACTAAAAAATATAGATCAACAAAAGTTTTTTTCCAAAAGATAGATGAAATTGACAAAACTTTAGACAAAGAAAAGAAAGAAAATTCAAATAAATAAAAACAGAAGTGAAAAAGCAGACATAACAACTGAGACCACAGATATACAAAGAATCTTTATATACTGTTATGAGCAACTATATGCCAACAAATTTGAATAGCTAGAAGAAATGGATAAATTCCTGGACACTTACAACCTACCAAGATTGAAACAGGAATAAACTGAAAACCTGAACAGACCAGTAAGTAACAAGATGGAAGCTGCAATAAAAAGTCTTTCATCAAAGAAAAGCCTGGAACCTGATGGCTTCACTGCTGAATTCTACCCAACATTTCGAGAAAAACTATTAACACTTCTACTCAAACTCTCCACCCCGCAAAAATAAAAATAAAAATAAAAAAATCAAAGAGGGAATACTTCCAAACTAATTCTACAAGGCCAGCATTATCCTGATATCAAAACCAAATAAGGACACAACAAAAAAAGAAAACTATAGGGCAATATTACTGATGAACATACATGCAAAAATTCTCAACAAAATACCAGCTAATCACATTAATAAGATCCTTCACCATGATCAAGTGGGATTCATCCAAGAGATGCAAGGACAGTTCAACATATTCAAATCAATAAGCATGATACATCACATTAACAGAATCAAGAACAAAAAACATATGACCATTTTCATAGACACTGAAAAAGTATTGGACAAATTCATTATCTCTTTATGAAAAAAACCCTCAGCCAACTGGATATAGCAGGAACATAATCCCAGATAATAAAGGCCACATATGATAAAACCACAGCTAGCATCATCCTGAATGGGGAAATATTGAAAGCCTTTCCTCTAAGATCTGGAACAAGACAAGGATGCCCACCTTCACCACTGTTATCTAACATAATACTGAAAGCCTTGGTCACAGCAATCAGACAAGAGAAAGAAATAAAGGGCATCTAAATTGCAAAGGAAGGACTCAAGTTATCTTTGTTGGTAGGCAACATAATCTTATATTTACAAAACCCCTAAAGACTCCACCAAAAAGTTGTTAAGAACTGATAAACAAATTCAGTAAAGTTTCAGGATACAAAATTAACATACAAAAGTCAGTACAGACATTTTTTATTTAGATTGCTTTCTTGATTTCTTTTTCATATTGTTTGCTGCTAAAGTATAACATTTATAATAGTTACAAATAATATAAAATACCTAGGAATTACCTTAAGTGAAAGATCTATAAAAGAAAACTACAAAACACTGATGAAGAAAATTGAAGACACAAATAAAAGGAAAGATATTCCAAGCTTGTGGAATTGGAAGAATATTGTTAAAATGACAATACTACCCAAAACAATTTTCAGATTCAATGCAATCTCTATCAAAATACCAGTGACATTCTTCACAGAAATAGAAAAAGAATCCTAAAATGTATATAAAACCACAAAAGACTCTGAATAGCCAAAGCAGTCCTAAGGGAAAAGAACATAGCTGGGGGCATTACACTATCTGACTTCAAAATATACTACAAAGCTATAGTAACCAAATGACCATAATACTGGCAAGAAAATAGACACATGGACAAATGGAACAGAATAGAGAACCCAGATATAAATCCACACATTTACAACCAATAATTTTTGACAAAGCAATCAAGAACATATCATGGTAAAAGAATAGTCTCTTCAATAAATGGTGCTGGGAAAACTGCATAACCAGATGCAGAAGAATGAGACTATCTCTCAGATATTTCTTCCTCATCTCTTTTTGATTTTTGATACAAAAATCAAATCAAAATGGATTAGAAACCTAAATCTAAGATCTGAAACTATGAAACTACTAGAAAATCATATTTGGGAAATACTCCAGTACATAGGTTTGGCCAAATGCTGTTTTTTTGTTTTTTCGTGTTTTTGCTTTGGAGACAGGGTCTCTGCCACCTGGCTTTGAATGCAGTGGTGCAATCACAGCTTTCTATAGCCTTGACCTTCTGGGCTCAAGTGATCCTCCCACCTCAGCCTCCTAAGTAGCTGGGACCACAGGTGTGTGCTACCACATCCAGCTAATTTTATTTATTCATTTAACTTTATTTATTTTTAAACTTTTTAAACTTTTAATTTTTAAAATTTTTTATTTAATTTTATTTTTAATTTTTAAACTTTTAAAATTCTTTTTGCGAAAGTAGGGTCTCCCTGTGTTGTCCTGGCTGGTCTCAAACTCCTGGGGTCAAGCAATCCTGTGCCTCAGCCTCCCAAAGGGCTGGGATTATAGGCATAAGGCACAACTCCTGGCCTGGCCAAAGACTTTTCTGTGTAAGACTGCAAAAACACTGACAACCAAAGCAAACGTAGACAAATTAGATTATATCAAGCTAAAAATCTTCTTCACAGCAGAGTGAATCATCAAGAAAGTGAAGGGACAGCCCACAGAACAGGAGAAAATGTTTGCAAACTATCCATCTGACAAAGGGATTAATAACCAGAATACATAAGGAGCTCAAACAACTCAATAAAAGAAAAATAATTCGATTTAAAAATGGGCAAAATAGACATTTCTCAAAAGAAGGCATACTAATGGCCAAGAGTTAAATTAAAAAAATGTTCAATATCACTAATCATCATAGAAATGCAATTCAAAACCACAATGAGGTATCATCTTGCCCCAGTCAAAATGGCTTAAAAATTTTTTTTAAGTATTATTATAATAGAGACGAGGTCTCACTATGTTGCCTAGGCTGGTTTTGAACTCCTGAGCAGCTCAAGTGATCCTCCCACCTCAGCCACCCAAAATGCTAGGATTACAGGCATGAGTCACCATGGGCAGCCTAAAATGGCTTTTATTAAAAAGATAGGGAATAATGGATGGTGGCAAGGATGTGGAGAAAGGGGAACCCTGCTACACTGTTGGTGGGAATGTAAATTAGTACAGTCACTATGGAATACAGTATGGAGGTTCCTCAGAAAACTTAAAATAGAACTACTATATGATCTAGCAATTCTACTACTAGATATATATCCAAAAGGGAAATCAATATATTGAAGAGCTATCTGACCTCACGTTTATTACAGCAGTATTCACAATAGCTAAATTATGGAATCAACCATCAATGGATGAATGGATAAAGAAAATGTGGTCTATATACACAATGGAATTTAGCCATAGAGAAAAGAATATCGGGCCTGGAATGTTGGCTCACGTCAAATCTCAACACTTTGGGAGGCCAAGGCAGGAGGACTGCTTGAGGCCTCCCTATTTCAAGAATATATGGAATAAAAATTTGAGTTTGCTATATTTTTATTTTTATTATAATTTCTAATAAAGTTGTTTTTCCGCTATCCCTTTATTGCTGCTTCTCAGGACTATTCATAAAATGACCAAAAATATAAAAAATAAAATGATAGTAAATGACAATGACTATTTTTCCTGATAATACTAAATGTTAAAATCAACACGTTATTCCTTTTAGCAGCAACACAAGACAAGGTGATAGTTGCAAGAGGCTCCAGAGATCATTTAAATTATTTATGGGTAATTGGAACATATACTTGCTAGTACACACTAGCAAGAAAAGAATTGTAAACTGGCTGTTATGTTATTGTACCTTAAAAATGTATGTGGGTGAATTTTCTTTTAAGAAAGCCGTTAAACTAAAGAAAAACTATGTAACACACCTAGAACGTAATCTATCTGGCTCTGACAGATTCTCAAATGTTTAATCATTTAAAATAATTTGGGATGATAGTGTTTTGGAAATTTTTTTTTTTTTTTTTGAGACAGGGTCTCACTTTGTCACCTACACTGGAGTACACTAGCACGATCATAGCTCACTATAGCTTCAAACCTCTGGGGTCAAGCTAGCCTGTCGCCTCAGCACCCCGAGCAGCTAGGACTACAGGTATGCACCATTATGCCTGAGTGACAATCTAAAATCAATTCTATACGTATTAAAAGTTATGTATTACAAGCGTCTAAGGTCCAAAGTCTGGACTAGACTATTCACTAGTGATGATCTGGGCAATTAACTTCTTTGAATGTTAATTTCCTCATGTGTAAAATAAGAATAATGTCTACCTTGCAGGATTTTTGTGAAGAGTGAATAAATCAAATGAACCTAAAACAATGTTTGACATTTTGTAGGCCTTTAGCAAATGACGCTACTTACAAAAAGCTATGATGTTATTTGATTCTTTAATCTCTGACTGATTTTAATCACGTTAGTGATTTTTTTCTTGGGCCCTGTTAATGGCAGTTCCTACAACTTCCCTTCAATTATCAACTAGGCTAAACTTATTTCATTCATCGGTTATTATTTACTGAAAACCTCCTACGTCACAGGCAATTTAAAATCTTTATTCACTTTCTACACATAATTATTGTCAGAATACCTAGACAGTAAAATGCTAGAAAACAATGACTCTACAGAAGTGGTTTATATTTTACTTTTATAGTATCTCAGTCAGATGATCATATAGCAAGATCTTAAGAAAGATCTTAAACAGGGATAAACTATATTTTCATAAGCTATTACCATAGCAACATGTATGCTCTATAGAAATATTTTTTCAACTTATTTGACTAAGAAGAAAAGGATTTGAAATTATAGAAGTGAAACAATAAAAGGGTTAGAAAAAAACAGGAAGCAAAACACGTTTACAAAATAACTATCATGAAGAGTCTACTGATACATAAGATACCACCACACTGCTTTATATAGTATGCCTTTAAAATATTAATAAAATAATGTCTCAATCTAACAGGAAAAGCAATTCAAAAGCTAAGCAAAATAAAAACGAAAGAAAGAACATGTGTACATGCCAAGAGTGGGCACTAATACTGTTCATCAGTGTACTGTACTGTGTGATTTTTAGACTAAAAGGTTTTTCAATGTTATGGTGAAGCCTATGAAATACCAACTACCCTAACAAGTTTTTATCCCATAAACCAAACAGATATGAGTAAAAGATAAGGGAATATATTTTCAATTTCATTGAATAGTAAGAATATTTCTCCTTGAAACATTCCTAGCCTGGCTCTCATTTGTACAACAGGAAACAGAATAAAAAGGGTGGCCTACACACCCTTTGAAATTCCATTTCTGAAATCACTGTCTTATTCTCGAATGTTAGAACTTTTTGTGGGATCTGACATATTCTCAAGTAGCTGTGAAGTGCATTAAGGTATCAATGAGTACCCCCATCTACCTCTTCCCTCCCACTTTTCCAAAAATACAGCTGTCTTTGGAAACTTAAATGGTAAAAATCAACAGATAAAGGAGTCTTAGACAGATATGCTAAGTCACCTTAAGGATCAAAGCTGCAGAATAAGACATGGCAGTATGAGCATAATACAGTAATAATTGACATTAGTAAAAGAATTCATCAATATAAATGGAGTGTGGATGGTCAGAAAAAAAAGAAAGTAAAAGAAAGCAAGATACATATTGGCAATGCCTACTTAAATATCCACTGCCACGCTAGAGATAACCTAGCTTCATGCTACCAACCATTTAGAATCGTAATTAATCCCCCATTGAGGAAGTAAAAAATAGGAGACTGGGATATGGGAAAAGGTCATCAAGCCTAGATTTGAAACCAGGATATAAAGAGCTGGAATTACAGGCACCCGCCACCCTGCTCGGCTAATTTTTGTATTTTTAGTAGAGACGGGGTTTCACCTTGTAGGCCAGGCTGGTCTCAAACTCCCGGCCTCAAGTGATCCGCCCAACTCGGCCTCCCAAAGTGCTGGGATTACAGGTGTGAGCCACCGCACTCGGCTAGCGTTTTCCCTTAGACTCGAAATTTCGCTCCTATCGTCCCATCCGTGTAGTAAGAAAGTATTCTTTCTAAGGCTTAATAACAAATTTTACTCTTGGCAATTATCAGGAACTCGACTATATTAAAATAGCTAACGAGAGGAAATTACTGAAGCTACGAAGTCAAAGGTCTCACCATCAAAGTTATCCTTGACAACTGACAAGAGCTGTTAGATCTTCTTTTGGTCTTTCTGCTAATTCAACCCTAGTCTTAAAAATAGCCACCTATTGCCTAATCCCCTGTATACACAAAACCATTGCACTTCGGTATTTCTAATACGAGAAAGTTTCTATATATCCAAACTTTCCTATCTTTGAGGGGCAGGCATGGTTAACGTGGTTCTCAGTAAGATATTCATTTACAACTAAGAGAAAATCCCAGGCTATCATCTGACATTCTTGTTTTACTTTAAAAACCTTTCTAACGTTATTTATTCTCTGACAACCTCAAAATTACTTTCCACAAAGAAAATTCTAGAAATCTAAAAATGCGAAGTGCGTGCTTGTCAGAAAGTACTAAGGAAATTCTTCCTTTAAACGTCAAAGGTGAATTCTAACTTCTAATGGGTAAGACCCTCGAGATTTACAGCGGTGGTCTGGTGGAAAGAAAACCCCCTTGGCACTAGGAGCTCACAAAACCCCATCCCGTGGTTGAGGCGGAAGCGGCTACGCGCTCCCGGGCTTTAGACAAGCAGCCCTGCAACGCAGGCCCGTCATCTTCAGCAGAAAGCTCTCTCACGTCCTGGCTCGCAAGCCCGGAGGGTTCGTCATAAACACACAAGGCAAGGATAGAAGCGAGGCCAAGAGGCAGGTCACGCAACTGTCAAACGAAGCCCACCCCACCGACTGACAAGTCCCCAAGGCGACAAGCGATCCCCGCGCGGGATACTCACCCGTTACCTCAGGATCGCGACTACAACTCCCAGGAGGCTGGGCGAGCGACGAACCAACGCCCTTCCCAGAATGCAGCACAGCGGCATCCCTATCCCGCCCTCTCCTTACTGCGCTCCTCCTACTTTTCTACCCCTCGTCATCCGGGAGAGCCGGAGGTAGGGTGCAGGAGGAGGATCCCGCACGCTCGGCGTGTCGCGTCAGACGCCGGGAGGGGGACGGGGCGGGGAGTAGGAGGGGAGAATGGGAGGACGAAGGGGAGGGGAAAGGACAGGGGAGGGGAGGGTAAATAGTGGGCCAGGCAGCAAGATGGCGGCGGTAGCGGAGGTGTGAGTGGACTCGGGTCTCAGCGGCCGGATTTTCTCTTCCCTTCTTCTCCCTTTTCCTTCGCTATTTGAAATTGGCATCGAGGGGGCTAAGTTCGGGTGGCAGCACCGGGCGCAACGCAGGGGTCCCGGCGACGGCGGCGGCGGCTGACGGCTGGAAGGGTAGGCTTCCTTCACCGCTAGTCCTCCTTCCCCGCTCCGCTCGGTGTCAGGCGCGGCGGCGGCGCGGCGAGCGGACTTCGTCCCTCCTCCTGCTCCCCCCCACAGCGGAGCTGGCACTCTTCGCTTCGCCATCCCCCGACCCTTCACCCCGAGGACTGGGCGCCTCCTCCGGCGCAGTTGAGGGAGCGGGGGCCGGTCTCCTGCTCGGCTGTCGCGCCTCCATGTCGGATAATCAGAGCTGGAACTCGTCGGGCTCGGAGGAGGATCCAGAGACGGAGTCTGGGCCGCCTGTGGAGCGCTGCGGGGTCCTCAGTAAGGTGAGCAACCGGTGGTGCCATGGGACCCCTGGCCAGACTCACCTGCCGCGAGGCAGTCCGCTGAGGCGGTGGGGTGGGGCTGGCGGGAGGCGCGGAACGTGCCGGGGTGCGAGGCTGAGTACTGCTGCGGCGACTAGGGATGAGGCGGGGATATAGGGGGCTTGTCCTTGCTGCCCGAGGGCTCGTCGGGGGCAGCCGAGGACCAGGAAAAGGGTGTATCAACCCGGGATCCTGTCTGGGAGACCAGATGCGTGCCGTGCCTTGGGACCTAGGGCGGCAGCTGTCCCGGGTGTAAGGAATCCGGGTTGGGCTTCAGCGGTGTCGGAACGACTGGGCACGGGAGCGGTTCAAGTCGGACCTCTTAAAAGAGGTTGGTCTGTCTGAGGATGCCAAGCTGAGTAGGTTGGGGGGCACTGCGGACGCAACTGTTTCGACAGAAGCCGGAGCGACTCGGCTTGGTGTTGAAATTTGAGGTGTTGAACTCGCCAGGTTAGATGTAGTGAGACAGATTAATGTGGAGGACTTTCTCCCTCACCCTGTACCTTAGTTCACAATAGAGATATTGAATCGGCACGTGATGGGTACAGGAAATATTCATAGTAACTTGAAACATGTGAGAAAGGAGACTGATCTTTAGTCCAGGAAGAAGAGCATTATTTAATAATAAACTCTTTTTGCGGTAAGGGATCCAGGGTAAGGAAAAGATGTTTTACCTTTTATGTATTTTTTAAAATCCGTGTATCAAAATTTTAGGAAAGCAGCCATTATAGAACTGCAGATGGGTGATCTCTTGATATTACATGGTTGGGATTTTTTTTTTTTTTTTAAGTTTTTGCTATAAGAAGATTCACATAGCCTTTTGGACTTCTCTCCCCCTTCCTGTTAAACTTTTTTAGAAATGGCTGGAGCTAGCAGTTAACTTGGAGAGGGGGAGCTGGGCCAGTCCCTCAACAAGCTGGTCATAAGATACTATGTCATGTGCAGCTACTGGCTATTAAGAAATCACCCTGTTTCCAGTATTCATACTTTGGCATATCACTTGGACATTATTTGTGGAATTGTTTAATATAATGCTTTTATAATGTCTGTAGAAAGCTAATGAGAAGGGAACCAGGAAAGGCATGAGTAGTCAGAACTAAGGATTGCAAGTGTTGACTTTTATTTGTATAGCCGAAAAATTAGTTGTATATTGATGCTGTGATCATTCTTGAAATTTCAATGCAAGGTTTTCAGTAACGAGAAGCTCCTCAGGATTTCTTTACATTAAATGTATCCTGTAATTTAGGAATCTCCATTCTCTATTGAACACATTGTGTAGTAGGTATACGTTTTCAGTTGATAATAGGAAGTGGGTTACTTGCTTCTCAGTGATTTTGATAGTTTCATCACTGCTCATAAGATGGGAAGCTGACTGCCATATTAGTATTGTGATGTGTTGAGTATTTTACAAAACAAATTGTAATTTTGACCTACTGATAATTACTTTTTTGGGGGTTGGGGGAATGGAGTGACTGGGGGAAAAAGTCACCAGTGCTCTGAGTTTTACTTTATGTGGAGTAGGTATACTATAGATCAAAAAATGAAAGACCAATCTCGATATTTAAATGCATACAAATGCATTTGATCACCTCTGTGGAAGGTGAATAACTTAAATTTTGACTGTTGCTTCTTATGTAGAATGAATAGGAATAAAGCTTTTGGTATTCTTGCTAATAGCTATGAAGGAAATTTTCCTGAGATTTACCAATTTATGGTTATATACAGTGTTTTCTGGAAACTTTTTAATCAAGGGTATTCTAAATTGAATATATATACTCATACTGAGTATGGTACATGTTTTTAAATGTAAATTATATATTTTGAATTCTTCATATTCACCTGGTAATTTAAACAAGGGTCAGAACTCGGCTTTTGTTCTTTTCCTTCCATTGAGTAATGTAAATAAGTCCCGGTACAATTTGTTTCGTTTGTCCCCCAAAATGGGGTGGATTTGGAATGGGCTTGGGTAAATTTATATTAGAAATATACCAGTTCAAAGGGTATTTTCCATATGGTAATCTGAAATATATGGGAATACCTATGAAGCATATTTCTTATAAATCGCTTAAGTGTATAGATTCCAAAAATACTTGATAGACAATAATTCTATCTGGTTATAACAAGTATCGTGATGGATCATGGTGGGGAAAAGATGCATGCCTTAGTAGGACTTGAGAGCAACTAAGCCTGGATAAAATAATCTCATTCAATTTCTGAATTTCCTCCATCCTTCATGGTTTACCTTCTGTTTTTGCACACACCAAACTGTTTGAAATTCTATCCATCCTTAAGAGTCCAAGTCAAATACTGTCCTTTCCGTAAAGCCTTTTTGTATTTTGCCATCATTCAAGACCTCCTTCACTTGCATTCCCATAGCATTTTGTTTTATTCTAAATATATATTTTTTTCTCTTGTGTTTGTGTTTGCTGGCCTGTTGGCCACAGTAATATTCAGTTCTCCTGCAGTGTCTAGCATATTGCCTTGTCTGTATTTGTTAAATGGGGAAGAGTGAGGGAACATAATGAGAGCAGAGAAAAGACAAAAAACTTGTCTTTCCAATGTCATAATAACAGCTAACAGCTTACTGAGAAAAGAGTCCTGAAGCTGATATAGTTTGTTCAGCCTCTTACAAGAACATAATATTGAATTATGGATACATAATTGCTGGGGTCCCTTCTCTGATATTGAAAGAGTTCTGTTCTAGTGAGAAATGCTGAAGGTTAAGCTTCATTAGCCATGTATAACTCTTCCTCACATTCAGAAAATACTATGTCCAGGCACTGTTCTAAGTCTATTCGTGTTTAAACTTAACTCTGAGAGACAGAGTTTGACAAAGAAAAGAACACAGAGTAAGTAACTTGACCACTGTCACAAAATTTAGCCTTATGAAGTGTGGTAATTATAAATGAGGTAGGATTAATCCATGGTGGGTCTTGAATGCCCTAAACAATTTGTATGACAGTCAGTGGGAAGTTGTCCATGTAAGTTTTGAAGCTGGAGACTCAATACGGTCAACATGTAAGAAAAGTAAGCAAACATGCTTAGTAAGTAAATAAGCTTGTTTAAATTATGAAAAACACAGAAGATACTAGAGAAAAGATTAAGTCCTGTAAGGAATACAGGAACTGGGTAATTTGATTGGAATAGTTGAAAATGAGAAGAGGAGGCAAATTTAAGGGTTTACTATGAAGGAAAGATAAGCAGTTTTTGGTGATGGGCTATAAATATTGAGAAGGAACACTTAGGAGTATCTTCTGTGACTATGCTAGGCATTTTCATTATTTTATTCAGCCATCAATCAACAGGCAAAGAAACTGAAGCTTACAAAAGTAACTTGTCAAAACTCTCTTCACGTGAGTTGTAGAGTAGTTGAGCCTGTTTAATCCTGTATACACTAATCTGTTTGTATATCTAATACACAGACTCTGAGCAGAAGTAGCAGTCCCCCCCAAGGAAATAGGAAAATAGGAAGGAAGTACACCTTGTAGAAGTAAATTCAGTTTTGTTGGTAACTATCATTTATTTCAAGCCTGTGTCTAAGTGGTGGTACATCACAAGCGGTTAGAAATAAGGAAGTGGTGATTAGGAGCCACTAGAATGAGTTAAATTGTCAGCTTGGATGAGTTCTCAGAGAGGGGTTGTAATGATGGGGCTTAGAAAAATTAAGAACTGGCTAGGGATGGTGGCTCACCTGTAGTCCCAGCACTTTGGGAGACCAAGGAAGACAGATCGCTTGAGCCCAGGAGTTTGAAACCAGCCTTGGCACCACAGTGAAACCTCATCACTACAAAAAGTTAGCCAGACGTGGGGGCACGCACCTGTAGTCTCAGTCACTTGGGAGGAGGAGGAAGGAAGATTGAGCCCGGGAGGTCACAGTGAGCTGAGATGGTGCCACTGCACGCCGTCCTGAGTGACAGAGTGAGACCCTGTCTCAAAAAAATACAAAATAAAAGAAAATTTAAGAACTGAATAAATCTCAAAAATGCTTAATTAGAGAATAGAAAAAGATTTCTCAGTGGATATAGAGCCTGAGCCAATACAGTATATTTTGGCAATCCATTTTTAATTAGTTTTTGGAATTGGCAGATAGTTTTGAGATTTTTCTATACTTAAAACCCCAGAGCATAGATAAAAACATGCAAAAATAAGTAGTCCTGTAAAGGTTACATTTCTGCCTTTTCCAGTTTATTGTGATCTTCACTGTGCAGCAAGACTTTAGCAACACAGAAACTCTTTTAAGGTGTTGAAGGTAATCCAATATGTTTTTGAAAACCAATTTTATTTTTGTTTTATTACTCTTGAGTTTGAAAAATATATGTTCAGAGAAACTTGGAAAATGAATTGGCCATTTTAAATATTATTCAGTTCTGTAGAGGAGAAGTTAAAGTTGATGCCAACTTACTAAAATTATTGTTTTTATTTTGATATAGTTATGACCATTATAAGTTTTCATATGGGAATAACAACAAAAGTAGAGTTTAGTAATAATTGACTTTATACTTCCGTTGATTTAGAAGGCGTCATGCAGTCTTTGGTGTCAGAAAATGAGAGACTCCATACCTAACTGAACATACTTCTCTGTTGAATATGTTAATTATGACAAGGACCAAAACAAGTATCATGAAGGTACTTAGGAGAGGATGAAAGCACACAGAGAATAAACAATAATTTTAACCAAAATCTGGCTTTTGTTTTATTCTTCAAATGTTAGAAGAAAATAGTATATTTTGTTTCTTAACAGTTTATTTATAATATTGTAAAAATTACTGAAAATCATTATGCAATCTAGAAAATCTCAACTTTTCACTTTCTGTAATCATTTTACTGTTTATGCCTAGAATTAAGTTGGACTTTTCACGTTTTGGTTTTAAAATTACATTGCTGTTTCACAAAGTTTGGATTTCTAAAATACTTCTCTTTTTTGTTTTCTTCTCCCTTCCCTTCCCCTTCCCGCTCCCAGTGGACAAACTATATTCATGGGTGGCAGGATCGTTGGGTAGTTTTGAAAAATAATGCTCTGAGTTACTACAAATCTGAAGACGAAACAGAGTATGGCTGCAGGGGATCCATCTGTCTTAGCAAGGCTGTCATCACAGTAAGTTCCTTTTCTTCTTCATTTAACAAATATTTACTGAGTGTCAGCCACGTACCAGGAACTGTTCTACATGTTCAGGATACATCTGTGAATAAGATAAAGATCCTTGCCCTTGTAGAATATACATTCTAATACTTTTTTCCATAAAAATATTTTACTGTGCTTTTTGCTACATATTGTTATTTTGCATAGACAGGTAGTTTTTATCTAGTGGGTATATCAAACCGGTTTAAGGACTTCAGGGAAAAAAAAAGTTTGAAGGCTTTTTATTTGTTGAGGCTGGGACAGTTACTTTGTAGGTTACTGAAAATTTAAAAATAATACATCTTGTAGGTAATGTTCTAAAATTTTAACTTAAAAAATATAAACTTTTTAACATTGAGCTAATGCCATCTCTTTGTGGAGTTGAGAGAAGCTGTTCTTATATTCCTCACACATGATTTACTATTTGCAGTTTTGGTATCTCTAACGTGGAATAAAAGTCTAAAGATAACTTTTGAAAAACCCTAAGTATAGGCTCCTTGTAACTTTTTATGATTTCCCCTTATATTTTGCAGTTATGTCACTTTTATCTAATTCAACACCCTTTGAAAGAATAACTCACCTTTGTTGAGTCATTCTACTTAGTTTACATTTTGTTGTTCTTTTTTTGTTTTTTTGTTTTGTTTTTGAGACAGTCTTGCTCTGTCACCCAGGCTGGAGTGCAGTTCCGTGATCTCAGCTCACTGCAACCTCGACCTCCCAGGTTCAAGCAATTCTTCTACCTCAGCCTCCCAAGTAGCTGTGTCTATAGCTGCGTGCCACCACGCCTGGCTAATTTTTGTATTTTTAGTAGAAATGGGGTTTCACTGTGTTGGCCAGGCTGGTCTCAAACTCCTGATCTCAAGTGATCCACCCACCTCAGCCTCCCAAAGTGGTGGGATTACAGGTGTGAGCCACCACGCCCGGCCTACTTAATGTACATTTAACTTATTATATAGAAACAACTGTTTTTTTTTTTTGCACTCATAGTCATTAGACATAAATAATGTTTAAGATATGTAAGAACTGTAACAAGTAAACGGGCATAAACAGATTTGGGAACAACCAATGACTTGTTAAGCTTGTAACCCAACTAGTTAGAAATGCCTGATTATACAAAAAATAGCATACTAGTTAAGAATGGTCAGCATGCCATGGGCAAAAAAAAAAAAAAAAAAAAGTGTTGGCTAAGGCCAGATAATTAAATAGAGGTCAGTTAAGGGAGCTATTGTAGTTAAAATCTGAAAATGGGTATGTTAAAACAAAAATACAGATTTTACTAACTCACTCAAAGAGAAGTCACATTTTGTGATAGAATTTATGTGGCTTACAAAAGTTAGAGTATATATATATGTAATACTTCAGATTTCTGTTAATATCTAATCCTAACTTAGCACACGTTTGTTATGCTGTTAGGGAAAATCTTACAGTATTTTTACATTATTTTTTATACATTATTTCCCCCCTTGTATATTCAAAGTTTGAAAACAAAAGTTTAGAATTGAATATCAAATTAGAGAAACACAGAAAAAGTGTTTGGAAGTGTCGATAATGAAACTACTACTCTCTATTCTTAGAGACAATTTTTAGGAAATAGCTTTAACATAAAGGCTCAGTATTTATTTTAATTGGTATGTGGTACATTGTAATGTGTTTAGAAATTGTATCTAGTTTAATATTTTGGGTGTTTTTCTTCTAAGATAGATCATTATTCATGTCAGGGGACAGAATAGTGGATTGAAATGTACCTTGCGATCTTGAAGTGTTTTTCCTTGATCCTCCACTCCCCTTCTTTTGCGTATTATTGGATGTTTATTAGTTTCAATGCTTGGGTGTTTGAAAATGGGGAGGAATTAAATTTTATCTTGATTGTTCCCTAAGTAGTAGTATTCATGTTAGTTTCTGTGGATTTAGATATAGTTATTCTGTCTTGAATTATGGACTATAATAATATTGCCTGGCTTATTTCGAGAAAAGAAAATTTTAAATAAACATTTACATCCATCTTCTCAGGAAGAAAACTGTTACTTTATTGTAAATGATTTTTGTTACACCTATATGTACATGCATAACTTTCATTGTAGTACATAGTAAAAGACATGAGTAGGAATGTGGAACAATTTGAATTCTTTAAAGGAGAGATAATAGAAGTAAAAGTAAAAAGATGAATGAGGCAGCAAAATCTGTGTGGTAGTCTTAGATACAATGAAACAGATGATAGGAAAAAACACAAGCATTTATATTATTGAACTTGAACTTTTCCTTGCCCTGTGGATTCACAGACTCCATGTTACATATTTAAAGTAAATTGAAAATATAACTGAATTCAGTGAACTCAGGATGAAGTTTACAAATTAGAGTGTGTACTTTAGTTAAATAAATAAACGTAATAGTAATATTCCTCATTAAATACTAATAGGCATCCCTTGGCATTTTTTTTCCTTAAATATGGGCTATTGCCTATATCACTTCATATCGGAATACAAAGAATATAAATGTTTAATTTCTTTATATGGCACCCTTATGAAATTGATAACATTCACATACGAAGAAATCTGGGCTTGAAGAGTTGATGTGACTTTACTATAACCATTCATTACTATATTATTTGTTGGTGTATCTTGAGCCCTGAGGCCACATTTCTTGATAGAGCCTAATCCATTTTAAGCGTCTAGCATCTGAGCCCACATTTCTTGATAGAGCCTGATCCATTTTAAGTTCATTCTTAGTTTAATGATTAAATCAGTCTTATAAAAAGAATGTTCTTTAGTTGTGTGATAATAAAGTGGGTGAAATAATTTCAAGGAAGAAAATATGTCTTGAGAGAATTTATTCCTTAATGTGAAAGAATTGACAGTAAGTAGGTGAGAGGAAAAATAGTACTCCCTTACTTTGTGTAAAAAGAGCTATTTGTGTGTAGAATAAGTGTTTGTAGAAAGACAGTTGAATTCTTCAGTTATTATAGCTTGATACTTAGAAGACCCAGCCCCTGCTACAAAATTTGTCACATAGTAGATATTCTGAATATGTTAGTTGTAATTGTTTCAGTTAAAAGCAAATGTTTATAGAAAATTTACACTGTTTACTTTTTAAATTCTATTTTTTAAATAAAGTGCACATGATAAAAATTATAATTCATGGCATTAGTTTAAGAAGTACATGCTGCTTTTTAGTCTTGCACTCAAGGGACAGCCAAACTTAAATTTCTGGTCATCCTTTCAGAAAATGTGTGAGCCTATACAAGGATTTGTTTATATCTTTCATAAATATTTACACAAATGGTATCATAATAAGCGTTTCGTTCTGCACCTTGTTTTAATAAATCTTACACATTAACTATTCTGTTGAATCGTATGGATATATTTATTTGCCTGGTCCTTTTTTTGCACACTTAAATCATGCCAATTTTTATTACAATCGTTATTGAAACAAATATGTACTTTAAAATTTGTTTTTAGTTATTGTCAAATACTCCTTCAAAACAGTACCACTCCTCACTCCTACCAGTAGTGAATGAGTGCCTCTGTTTCTCCCTACCTGCAAGTATTGAGGAATTTGGGTGTTGGCAAATGTTAAAGTATTTGTCAAACTGCTACCTTAAAATGGTATCTTATTATTTTAAATTGCACTTTTTATCCATGAGGTTGAGTAACTTAATAATTTATAGCCATTTTTATTTCTTTTTCCTTTTCCAGTTGCTTATGTACTTTTTTTGGTTTTTCTTTCCTTGTTGGCTTGTGGAAACTCTTCATCTGATAATTAGCCATTTGGCACATTTGTTGCAAATATTTTCCCCCACATTGTCACTTGTCTGTTTCTTCTTTGCTTGTTTTATAGTCTATATTAGGCCCTAGAGAAATCTTAGATTTTTACATACTCTTATTGGCATCTTTTATTATGACTTCTATATTTACTTGTTTAGATAGGTGTTTCTCTGTCAAAGACTCTCTATATACAAATGTAGATATATTTTCATCTAAAATTTATACTTGAATTTTGATTCCTGTGAAAGTTATTTTAGTTTAAGGAGTTTAGTTTAAGGAGTTTAAGGATGTTTTTAATTTTTTTCCACATGACTAATTATGTATCTGGGTAGCATTAATTAAATAACTCATCTTTTTCCAAGTGGTTTGAAACACCACTTTCATCATATGTTACGGTCCCATGTTTATTTAAGGTTGTTTCTGGACTCTCTTTTGGGCATTTGGCTTGTCCTCCTTCTTACCCTCTGTTTAAAATTATGTTGTGAGTATTTCTTCAACCAGTTCCTTAAACTGCTAATGATCCATTGGTGAAAATAAAAGTAATGTATTTGCAGTTAGTAAAATTAAAACAGGTAGAAATTTTTGGTATAATATCTTCAGATAGAATTGGTTTTCCTAAGTTCTGTAGTTTCATGTCTCACCTTAGGCATTTGCCTTTGTGTACCTGATGTCTTGTTGAACTTCTCAAATTACCAAATAAGTAGGATTCCTATTATTCTTATCATAGGCTGGTTTTAGGGAAATTTGCCAGTTTTATGTTTTAATATTTTTAGAAGGAAAACTGAAAGTTAATGAAAATGTTACTGTTGGATTAAAAAAAAAAAATTAAATCCAAATAGTGGTTAGGCAAGTTGGTGGGGTAGGGGCTTGCCACAAGAGTGGAAGTTGAAAGATCTTGGAAAAATTAAAGAAACTGATGGAACCCCATCTCTACATCAAAAAATACACAAATCAACTTGGCGTGGTGGTACATACCTGTAGTCTCAGCTACTTTGGAGGCTGAGGTGGGAGGATCAGTTACTTCAGCCTCGCAGTTGGAGCCAAGGTGATGCCACTGCCCTCCAGCCTGGGAGACAGAGTGAGACCCTGTCTCAAAAAAAAATACCCAAAAAACAAAAACCAGACAATGGAGATGTAAAAGCAAGGGAAGGAAGTGTTCAAAATTGAAGAGAACCAGAAAAATAAACATAAATTTTGAAAGTGCCAGATAGTAGT